ATATAAAATACATACAAATATCTACGTGCACGCATAACCTCCTCCTTCTGACATATATGCTGCTTCTCAAATTTATAAGCATGTGCACACACAGGCACATCATCTCAATCCGAACATGGACACACAGCAATTTTTCCTGGGAAATGGGGGAAGTTTCCTCCCCCCCCCCACCAATGATACTATTGCATTCTCCTATTTCTCCATTTTTACTCCTGATTTTTATTATCTATCATGTCCCAACTTCTTTAGCTACATATTTGCCCTCATATTATCATCTTCCAAGACCCAATGTCATTGCAACATCGTTGGATGCTTTTCCAGCTTTGCTTACCCTGTAACTGTGTGAACATCTCAGCCAATATAAACTTCCTTGTTGACACACCTCCTCCTAGAATACCCATTTAATTGTGGGTGTGGCATTGCCACTTACTTTGCTCTGAAGGCTCATGTTCAGGGGAGCCTGAATTCTTTTTGTGAAAAAAAAAAAACAATAGCATAATGGTAAAGAAATCCCAATGAGCAAAGGCTTCCTTAGATATTTGCAGGGGAGGAAGAATAGGATTCACCAAAAGCAATGGGGATTGTTAGGGATGCTTGGGAATGGGTCAGTGCTATTGAAATGTAAGTAGTATTTCTATTTGTGATTTTGCAAAAAGAAAATATATGTAAAAGAAAGGCAGGGCGTATCAACTGGAACATTGAGGAAACTGCTAGACCAGTGTTGGCGAACTTTTTCGTCACCAAGTGCCAAAACAGGAGCATCCGTCTGCATGCGTGCAGTCGAAAGCACTGGAAACTGGAAGAGCAGCTCCTCAGCCACCTGGTCTTCTGGTTTTCGGCACACATGAACATGTGAAGAAGAGCAACAGGCAATGACTCACCTGCCTAGAGAGATGGCTCTGTATGCTACTTCCAGCATGCATGCATGCCATAGGTTCGCCATCACAGTGCTAGACTCTTGGTATTACAGTCTGCTATTTACTAATTTATAAAAAAAAACTTCTCTTTTCTACCCAGTCCATCCCTGCCTAAAAATTACTTTTTGTAGATCCTCAAGATAATGGATGGATGTATATTTCTTCCACCCTTGCAAATTATTTAACATTTATAACTGTTGACTAAAGACTGTTTTTTTGGTTTGGATTGGAAGCAAAAAAAAAGTGCTTTGTAGCACCCGTGTGGCACCTACAGAGTAGATGCAGTATAATGCATTGGCTGACAGAGTTGCTTTGGAAAATGAGATGGATGGCATATAAATTTAATAAAAAATAAAATGATCTGTGACTGTAACTTGGAAAGTGCATTTTCTATGATCAAATCACATTTCTTCACTTTGTTTGTTCAGAAATCGAACCTATTAGGACCTCCTAAACTGGCCATTAGTATATCAGTTTAATTTATTATCAGAAAGTGTGTGTATTTGGCAACAATGTTTTTTTTTGTTGCACAGATTTCTATTATTAGAACAGTAAGAACAGACTAGATTAAAATGTGTTTTTTGCTTAGCCTAGTTTGTGTGCCTCTGAAAATGACCAATCAGCCTATGAAATGAAGTATTAATTATCTATTATGACTCAGTAGTTTAGCAAAGATCTGTTCCAGTCTACCAAACACAGTTGGATCACCAGTGAGGACAGAAATGTCTTATTTATAAAGCTGAATGTCGTAGAAACACAAACATTACTATGAACCTAGGTCAGGTGAAGCTGCAAACAAATAGAATCGACTTTTCAATCAGACCTTGAAAGAAGAATTCGCTTTATAGTACATGCTGAAGCTCAGCAGTGCTTTCCCTCTGTTTAAGTCATTACTTTAAAACTCTTGCCATGTATTTTGTTAGTGAGCCACTTAAATGCTCAAAATCCATCAATCGAAATAAGTTTCTAGTGTAGACTGGTCTTGACAACTTAGTTAGGAATACTTCCTTGACGTAAGCAACAAATCCTAAGCTTCCTTCTACAAATCTGATTTGGAAAAAAAGAAAGAAAACTACAAGTAGGCCTCACTTAATAACCATTCGTTCAGCAACCATTTAAAATTGTGAAGGCGCTACACGAATGGTAGATATGACCAGTTATATATCCATTGCAGCACTCTCACAGTCATGTGATCAAAATGGACGCTTGGCAACCAGTCTTCATTTATGACCACAACATGTACTTCAACTTCCCCGTCTGCCTACCTTCCCCTCAGGTCTGCCCTGCATTTTGGCTGCTGTTACTGCCTACCCCTGCTGACCTTTGCCGCTATCTTCCTCCTGCTTCCCATCCTTGATCCAAGCCCTGGGCAAGGGCGTGGCCACAGGATGCATGCATTGAGCATGACGGGTGGCAGATCCTCATTTGCCAAAGGGAGCTTGCCGGGCTTGGCCAGAGGAGGCAGCAGGACAGAGGCGACGGAGAAGACAGGGTGATGGCTCCAAGTGAAGATGGCGCTGTTGGCACTGCGCCATGGCTCACAGAGCTCTCGTGACTTAGAATGCCACTTAGAAATAGCATTCAGGGATGTCAAGTAATTTTAAAAGAGAGACTCAAGCTGACTAATTATCTCTTTCAATATATAATCCTTTGCTTGTTTTAGATAAACAGAATTATTTAGAAAACAAAACCTTAATTTAAACATTTATAATTTCATTAATTTGAACAGGTAGTCCTCGACTTACAACAGTTAACTTCAATGACTGTTCAAAGCTACAGTGGCACTGAAAAAAGTGACTTATGAGCGTTTATCACACTTCCGACCATTGCAGTATCCCCATGGTCACGTGAATAAAATTCAGACACTTGGCAACTCATATTTATGACGGTTGCAGTGTCCCAAAGTTCATGTGATCACCCTTTGTGACATGATAAGCAAAGTCAATGGGAAATCCAGGTTCACTTAACAACTATGTTACTAACTTGACAGCTGCAGTGATTCATTTAACAACTGGGGCAAGGAAATGGAGCAAAATTCATTTTGCAAATGTCTTGCTTAACAACCAAACTTTTGGGCTCAATTGAGGTCATAAGTCGAGGACTACCTGTAATAGGAATTATATGTTGGAAAGAAAACCAATTTACAGATACATAGTCTCTTGATGTTGAACTACATTTTCCATGACTTGCATTCAAATGGCCGTTTTAAATGAGATTTATATGTTCTAATGCAAAATATCTGGAAAACACCTATATGAAATATATCCTTTGGGGCATATATAGATTAGATCTTGAACATAAATTATTGTCTCTTCATATACTTCTACTTGTTGTAATTGTTATTTATCATTGCTATCATCTTATATTAGAATTTAACTCCTGTTTTTATTTGTGCTTAAAATCTATTGAGTCTGATTGTAATTTGAAAAATAAACTTTTAGAGTAAGTTTTACATTTTTTCACATAACTTCTAATTTGCCTTAATAAATTGGCTACCTTTCTGGTGCTCAGGGAACCTCTAACGTATAAATAAACTACATAATGTTTAGTTTATGTTTTGGGAAAAGGACACTTATTTATAAATGCTGTTGGGTTGGTTGTAAAACACTTAATTTAAAAATGAACATAGGATAAAATTAAATCCCCCTCCCTCCAACTTCTGATTTTGTTTTCAAGTATTCGGCCAAAATAATGGATAATCTTGTAATGTTAAATGCTAACATTTTTGTTACATGTCAGTAAGTGTTTGCTTCCATTAGCGTAAACCGAACATAAACATTAATTCACTGACCTTCTGTTTGAAATGTATAAGCAGAAAAAGCCTGTCTTTTTCTTCTTTTTTTGCTAAAATAAATAAGACATGTTTTGATATTCAAAAAAAATCAAGATGAAGTTCTTTAGAAATGATTAAATGGACTGAAGGAAAATGTGTAATCAGATATGTTAAATACCATAATGTATACATGTGGAGAATATCCATTCTTTCTTGAGTTTTGTGTTACTGTTGCATCAACTTGTAGTTATGTGTACCACTATATTCTTCACACCACAATTGTCTGTCACCAATTCCTTATCATACTGTCAATTTTTCTACTCATTTACAGTGTTGCATCAATTAACATGGCACCCATGACACATTGTTAAGCATTGCCATAGAAACCCTGTCATATACAGGTTCACATCGCGAAAATCATTATGTGCAGTTGAAGGCAGTTTTTATTGCGGGTATGATCTTCTACCCTTTTCATTTCCAAAAGAGAGAAATAAAGGACAGTTTGGGCTTTGAATTTATAAAGACTAATTATTGTTCCATGGCCACTTCTACATTCCCTAAAGGCATGGACATTTCATCTTTGTTGCTTATTTGGTCTGTTATTCAGGAATCCTTACTCACATAAGGTGCATTACTATTAGTACCAACTTCTTTCCTGGAATGTATTCTGGGGGCTGTTTTTGACATTGGTGACAGTCTTCAGTTGAAGACTGAAGTGGTTACCCAAAAGTTTGAAGTAACAATTATAAGCCCACATTTTAAGGAAGAACTCAACTGTCCTAGTGATGATGACATATGCTGACTTAAGGCTTTATAATTCTGCTTTAAAATTGAAACTTTCCTTTCTTTTCCTATAACTAAGGGAATTGTTCCGGATTTTGCAGCTGGAGAATTTAACAGCAAACAGCAAAATGAGAAACTAAATCTTGACTACTCACTTCCTTCCTTCCTTCCAATATTGCTGTTGTCCCCAATATGTTTTTGAAACTGCAGTGGATCACTCATAACCTTTGTTTTCAAGCGGGCAGCTCAAGTTTCCTTAATCAGCAAATTTATTGATGAGTAAGCAGTATAAACTTGGGTGTTTACTCAGGAGTATTCAGCCATTAACCTTCAGTAGTGTGACTCAGGGCTCTATAAAAGCAAAAATGCTTTGTTTAATAGTAACGGGATCAATAGGTTGAGCAAACACCTAACACTCCATTCAAATTGTATTGCTCCATTATTAAACTGTTAGCCTTTATTTTAATCTGAATGTCACTTTAGATTAAATGTGTCTTTCCAATAAATGCTTTTTTTTTCTCACACAGGATTATTTCTACCCGAAATATTTGGGTGAGTTGCAGTTACACCTTATTCATGTATGATAGTGTTGTTTGTTGCCAGGCGTAATCTGTACATGCGTATTATGATCTTTTGCAATGATCCACGCATCATTCCCCTTCTTTAAAAAAATAACAGAAATCTTGACTTATGACATGTTTGTTCCCACCCTCAGGCTCAACCTAGCCATCTCCTACATAATATTAAAAAATGGAAGAATCATATTCTAAAATAAAAGTGCAGGTATATTTATGGATGTATAGGTATATCTATACATATATGAATAATTCAGTAGAAGAGCAAACATGCTGAATGGGGAATTAGAAATCAGTCCATTTTGGCATATGGTTTAATAATACTTTTTGCATTTTCTTTAGACTGTATTCAGGACTATGGGTCACCAGCTACAAGAAGTCCAAATTTACATACGTGTGTGCATAGTAAGCATTTTTCATCTTTCTATCTTTTAGGCATTTGTAACATCCCGTGTGGGTCTAGCATGGGGGATGATTCATGCTCCAACCTGCTTTTAATAATTTACAGTATTGAGAGTTTGTATATGATGCTAAATAGTGGTCTAATATTACAAGTATGTGCCCAAGAGGATCTTGTATCCCTTATTTTTCCCATTTCCTTTCCCTCACTGGTACTTGCTGCATGCATACCACAGTGCTAAACTGTGATTTTAAAACATCTTGATAAAATTTCCAAAAGTAAAATATAAATGCAAACGAATTGTGGCTTAGCCTCCAATTTTAAGTTGAGCATTGCATTTCAGAGGCATTGGATGCTTCATTGGATGCTTCTATTTTACTGAGCTTAATATATTTTAGTGTTTAAGCTATGTACTGTTATTTTCTTAACCATGGTTTGCAGTTGGATGTTACAGAAGACTATGGCTTAGATCAGTGTTTCTCAACCGTGGCAACTTTAATATCTTTAGGTTGCCAGGGTTGAGAAACACTGGTTTAGATTAACCAGATGGTTTTGGACAATTTGGTGAATCATAATAAAATGCACAGCAGGACTATTTGTATAATATTACTTAAATGTTTAGCTGCTGAAAGGAAAGATTCAAGAACATGATGTACAATGACAGTATGAGCCACAGAAGTGTGCAGAATGTCTTAAATAGTAATTGGTGATTGTGCTGACAGTCTGTATATGCCTCTGTACAAGCAAAGTTGTAAAGCTTATGTGAAGATAAACCAAGATAGAGTGTCAGGAAAAGACGCATGCAGATTGGAAATTATACAAGGAAAAAAACAAAGTAGATCTATGGGAAGCCAAGGAGGTAATAGCAGAGGAAACAACTAGAAAAGGCACTAATTAAAGTAAAGGAATCTCTCATTGTGGAAATTTGGGGCACAGATGCAGCAGAGAAAGGTTTTAAATCAATTTCAAAATGTAGATGAAAATACATAATTTATTTCTAAAAGACTCATAATATTTCAAAGTAAATGGTTTTGAGCATGGATTTGAATTCCCTTGAGTGTCCTTTCGGGATTAAAGAATTCAGAGACATTGTGAAGATTAAAAAAAGGATTGTTTTAAAAAGAGAGAAAGGCTTCAGTCCTATGTATACTTAGCTTAAGTATCAAATTTAATTTTGTAGGACATTACTTTGAACACAAGTATGTGAGCTCAAACTATGATTTATCAGGCAAAATATGAACAGAAAACAAAACAGAGAAATTATACTATAGTTCTATCGTAAGTGAATTTTAAGTACTATATTTAAAGAGAAACTGATAGATAATAATAGATAATTTGATGGAAAATCTTTTTTTTAAATCAACCCCCCCCCACACACACACACATATTTTAGTATCAAAATTTAAGTAGGAAGAGGTTTTTTTTTTTAGAGTTGAAGAAAAAAGATTGAAAATTGTATAAAACTTTAAAAAGGAAAGATAGAGTAAAACATTTTAAAGGTATTATTTATAAAGGATGGCACATGCTTCAAAAGCATCCCACAGTTCCACAATTGCTGGATACAAAATCATTTTAGTCCAGTAGAAATCCCAAGTTCAGATTTCTGAAAACCTCCGAGTGACCTAGGTTGTTCCCCTCTATCTTTAATCAGTTTAGTATTAGCAAAAGCTAATGCTGGTTCTCCTTGCCAGTGTTTCACTTACTACTGTTCAAAAGAATTGAACTCAGAAGGATAAATACATATTAACAACTAGTCTCAGATATTGCAAAGGTGACATGGTTTCATCTTCTGTGATTATTAGCAATCAGTGAATTAATAAAGGAGAATATTTGTAGCATAGGGTTGAAATGAGTGGTCTTTGGTGCTCTCTGACTTTAGTTGTTTTCTTGCAAACGTTTCATTACCCAGACTAGGTAACAACATCAGTGTTAGTAAGTACTGGGGTTTGTTCATATTGCCCTGTCAGTGTTGGTGGGAGTGGTTTTAGAGATTCTTTGGTTGAGCTGAGTAATGTTGGCTTGTTTGGCTATTTCTTGATTGGGGTATTGTTTACTTGATTTTTAGTGTGATGTTAATCTTGGAATTAATCTATGAACAGCAGAAAAAGGAAACAGAGCATCTATGCAACACATTCCAACAAAATGGATATCCATGCAACTTTATCAGAAAGTGCCTGACCAATCAATCCAATACAGCACAATTAACACAAATTCTAAAAAGAATAACACTACCATACACCAAGAACATCTCGGAAGCCACAACAGGCTACTACAACCACATAGAATCAGAATACCACACAAGCTAACTAAAGCCCTCCAAAACATCCTAAGCAAACCAAAAGACTCAGCAGCCCCAGGAAAAAAAAAAAAACAGGAGTCATCTACAACATACAGTGTAATGACTGCAGCAACCATGATGTAGGACAAACAGAAGACTGGCAAAACACATTCATGAATACCAACTAGTAATCCGAAGACATCATGAAAACTCTTTAATTCCACAACATATGGACAGACTTAACTATAGTTTCAGTTGGAAACTATGACCATCCTAGATCAAGCCAAGTCCAAAAATGTCAGGGAATTTATATAAGCCTGGCACTCTGACAGATTAGCCATCAACAGACAAATAGACATAAATAATAGCTATAGCCTCTGCACAAAAGATAATCAACAAGCCAAAAGGGGAACAAAGAAACCTAAGCACCTGTCTAGTAGCAATCAGCTGAGCATGTATTAACTCCAAGGTTAACATCAAACCAACAACCAGGTAAATACCCCAATCAAGAAACTGCCAAGCAAGTCAACAGTACACAACTCAGTCAAAGAACTTCTAAGACCACCCCCACCAAAACTGACAGGGCAATATAAACTGAGAGCAAACCCCACTCTTTACTAGCTAGCATTGATATGTTACCTAGTTTGGGTAATGAAATGTCTTCAAGAAAACAAGCTCAGAGAGCACCAAAGACCCATCAATTAGTGAATTGTTGAGTAGGTTTGAAAGTGTAGCAAACACTTGTGATGGGAACCTGCAAGGACCATTAAAGAAGATGTTGAACAGTGGTTTCCTTCAACAATTAAAAGGCCATTTCAGTCAATCTACATTATCTGGTTTCTTTATCATAGTCAGATATCATCTCTTGGGTGCATTTCTTCAAAAGATCAAAGTACTCCGTGGCATCCCCAAATGTTTCTACCTGTCAGTGAAACATTACTACATACAAATGTTATACAATTAAGTTTCTTCATCTGATTTTTTGTTTATGTCAAGATGAAATGAACACCCTAAACTTATTCTAAGACATTATTTATTATGTTGGACATTATAGTTATTTCACCAGTTGTACAGTGCTTCAGATTCAAAGGCAACAAAAGAATTTTTCAGGTAATACCTACTATACCTACCCATCTGTGGTGGGGTGACAATTGATAACATGTCCATGCTGACATCATCACACAATATTGTATTCAAGACATGAAGATGCACGTATGTAGTGGTGATATTGGCATGATGACATCTTGTGCATGTTGTAATTTTGTATCTACATTTTGCCATCATGCTTATCTGCATCTCTTTAAAGTAGATGCACAGGGATTGCATAGCTTTCCTTTGTAGCTGTTGTGTGTTTCCATGAAAATACACTTTTGGTTTAAGTAGTTGTAGATGGGTTCTTGTACTATATACTTACCGTATTTATCGGCGTATAACACGCACTTTTTTCCCCCTGAAAATAGAGGGCAAATGATGTATGCGTGTTATACGCCGATATAATGTTAAGAAGCCAGCGGAGGCCGGGCGGTGCGAGCGGAGGCCGGGCGGTGCGAGCGGAG